GCCCGGGGCGCCGCGGGGTCCGGGCGGGAGGGAGGCGCCTGCCCTGGCTCCGCGGGGTGCTGGTGTGCGGGTGAGGCTGGGAGCACCCGGAGCTGCGCTGAGTGTGTCCCACCCGGCAGCTCGCCTGGCTGCGGGATAGATGAGTCGTCTAAACACAGGTTGGGTTGGAAGCGACACTAAAGATCATCCAGTTTTACGCCCTCTGCCATCAGCACCTTCCACTAGACCATCTTCTGGCTTGTTTCGTGTTGGTTTTCCCGTTTTGCGCTCAGCGGTGTGCTTCGAGCGGCTCGGGGACAGCAGCTGGAGGTGTTGAGCGCAGTTGTCTGTGTGTGTTCAGTGTGGCATAGTTCTGCACCTGCGAGCTGGCGCAGTGCTGCTCTTCTCACGGGCGTGATGTCCTTTTGCCAATAAATAAGCTTTTCAACTGAGTAGCAGCATTAATAATAAGCTTCTGAGAATAACTGAAAGTAGGCACGTCACAGGGAGACTTGGGCTTTTGCAATTTAGAATACTCCAGAAGTACTTGTTGTAACATTGTGGCAGTACTCTGAATTGAAGCATGTTTTCCAGGCTGTCAAGCAGATGTGCCTAACAAACTTGCATGAGCAGAGCAGGAGATCTTACTAAGGAAAACCTGACAGCTGCTTTTAAATATGCTAGATGTGCCTCCTGAGGATAAGCTGAACAGAGAGCAACAGCCCTGACCTCACTTTACAGCCTTGTTTATTCCTGGAAACACTCTTTGTCAGCTCTTGTCAGCCAAAATGTGTGCTGGTGCCCTGCTGTCCCTTACTTTGCTAGAACGGCATTTAAAGTAAGACTTTTCTAGGTGCTGTTGTATATTCACAGCCTGTGATTTTGTTTTATGCAGGGGAGACTATCTACGATGCTGCAAGTTCTGTTACCCATTATGTGCGTTCGTCATTGTTGCCGCTTGTGTGGTAGCCTGTGTTGGCTTGGTCTGGATGCAGGTGGCTCTCAAGGAGGATCTGGATGCAATAAAGGAGAAGTTTCGAACTAGTAAGTATGAATGTAACCACTGTTTGACATTTTCCTTCGGCAGTATGAAGAGATTTAGTTTCTCACCTGCTCACTCAAAGTCTGAAGGTACTGAGTAGACAAGCTGCCTGTGAACTGAGGGGTTCTTTGCGCCAAGAACACTTGGAGGCTTGGTGAATCTAAGGTGGCTGTTATATGTTCTCGCCTGTTGTATATCTTCTGAGGAGCAGGGACTAGGTGGGCCTGTAGCTCCTTGTACATACATTTCTAGAATTCCTGGCTTTGGTCTTAGGAGTGTTCTTTTTCGAAGAAAGACCCTATTGAAAAAGTTCTGGTCAGCCCTGTCAACGCAGTCTGGGGGATTTTGATGCATCCCTTAAAAAAAATAATGGAAAATAATGTCCTTGTCTTGAACTCTTAAAAAAATCCCTCTGATAGTTGCTATGGTGTTACTGCAGTTTGAATGTTGCTTTGGTTTTGTGCTGCTTTCTTCATATCATTTGAATGTTTATCTTGCTTGTGTTGACGTGTTCTTGTTCAACTTTTATGTCAGGCTGCATATGGTGTGGAGTTAGATCATGTTTATTACTTTGAAGTAAGGAGTGTTTTGCTTGTAGATCTCGGGTTTTCCCAGTCCGTGTAAGATTTCAGTACTAAAACTATTGTAATGCTGAGTTGCCACAGATTGGTGAGATTAAGGTATACTCTTGGTCCTCTGTACCTCAACTCTGGGCACAAGATATGTTTTGGTGCCTTATTTTAGTAGTGCTTAAAATCCTATATGTATGGAAAAAGGCAAGGATAAGCTAAGGAGCTGTGTGAACGGAGCAGAAGGGAGTGAAGCTTAATCATTCAGGTAGTCACTGGCTGCTTCAGGAAAGCAAGGTAGCTGTGTTTCACCTGAGGAGCACTACTGTTACTGTGGGTTTCGTCCCATCGCTTCAGTCTTCATGTTCGAGCTTTTTTGCCCAGGACATGAAGATGACCTGAAAAATAAGGCTGGTGAAATGAGATTAAAAAATAGGAGGCTGCTAGGGCTGGAGATTAAGCAAAGGGTTTTATTTGCTTGTGGGAAAAGAGGTATTGAGGAAATGTGTGCAGAAATTCTTTGGTGTGTGGCTGATGTGAGGTGGGGAAATGCCTGCCAAGGTGGAATGGGTGGGCTGGGTGGAAGGGAAAGAATTCCTGATAGATGTGCTTTTGTATTAACTGATACTGAGCTCTGAAAGTTAGCTGCAACTGCTGTCCACCTGTTAGGGAGGATGCCTTCACTTCCAGGGGCTGCTTTGTGGCTGGGAGCATACCCAGCAGCTCTGCAGTAGCTGTTCCTGTGTTGTGGGTAAGCCAACTGCTGCTCTTCATGGGCTGCTCTGCTCTGAGTGTGTACTGGCAGTCAAAGTTTTGCACAAGGACATTTGTTGGCTTTAGCGTAGCTGAATTTCATCATTCCTGTTCTACACAGACCTCTTTGTTAAAGCAGCTGTTCTTTCTGAGCACACTGTCTGGCAATTACAGATGGGCTTGTTTTTCTTCTTAATAGCTCTGATAGAAAAGCTGTGCATTTAATACTTTGTCTGGTGATAAACGTGTCAGATTTCCTTGCCACTGTAATGGCATGACTAGAAGTTGGATGGGAGCCTCATAATGAGGCACAGCATTTAAAAACAATAACAAAAAAGCAGGCAGCAAGAACAACCTGGTTCCCAAAGGTAGCACTGTGCCTTGGTGAGATGTGTGGGTGAACTGAGGAACAAAGGCATGTGATCCATCTGTCCTACAGCGAGTTCAGAAAAGGAACCTTTCTCCTCTGAATATTCATCCAGATTTTCTTCCCCCTCAGAGCAGATTCCTGTGGTGGTATTTGTTATGTTCTGCCATCCTTGGCACAAACTGAAGATGGTATGAATGCTTTTTTAAAAACAAGACTTTTTGCATCTAGTATGTTTGGAATAGGAGCAAGTCGTGGTGTTTCCCTGCAGTTGTTAGCAATGATGCTAAGAACACATGTGGTGCTTAACCTTCCTAGCACTGCAAAAAGCTCTTGAGTGGAGTCTCCTTATACACAGTGAGAGTGGCAAAGCAGGAAATGATTTGTCTCCAAGATCCTCTGAAACATCAGATCCAGTGTGAACTGCTTGTGTCAAACACAATTCGCTCTCAGTCCATTTCAGCTAAAATACACCTCTCGAGGTCTTATTTAACTGAAAGTGTTACTTGGATCTTGGGTGATCAGTGCAGATGCACCTACCAAGTACTTCTGGAACTCTTTTCCAAGAGAAGTACAATGGGTTTTTGAAGATGCACAGCTTTCCAGTTGTGTGTGTTTGGGCATCCACCCCACAGGTTTCCCCTTGTGACTGGATGAGTCACGCATGGAAATTTGTTCTGGGAGCTGCTAGCTACATAGCACATAGGTCCCACTGCTTTAGCAGGCTGCTCTGAATGATGGCAGTTTGTTGTGGAGCCTTACAGGGTGGAGGTGCAGATTTTGGAGAACTCTGTCATCTCCATCTCAAAACCTTTACTTATTTGTTTCTCAGACCTGGGGATTTAGAATTGCCTAATAGCGCTTAGAGCTAAACAGCTTAGTCACTGCAGATCTGGAAGAGCTGCATTTCTGAGGCTCTCTTGAATTGCTTTGAGCTGCACGTTTCCACCTTCCTGTACCATTAATTGCAGTAATAGCTGACTTTATTTCCAAGGGCCTTGTTGACTGATTTGTTTACCAACAGGTGTTAGTTAGTGTATAAGCTTATAAGTTGGTTTTTTTCAGTTGTCTTTCTGTCATACAGAGCAACTGTAATCACATCAATCTCTTTGAAATTCACTTCATCGGCAGAGCCCCTTTGCAGGCTTGAAAAGGACACTGAGGTTCATTCCACCTGCCTGTTTTGCCTTCCTACTGTTGGCAGTTCTTATTCACAGGCCCATTACTATTTCATGTTCCCCTGTGAAGGTACTGCAAAATAACTGCACTAAATAAAGACCTGCTGAGGCTTGCCAGAATGACAGTACTATGCAAAGTCTTAAATTAGCACAGTCTCTCTGGGTTCTCTCTGCAGATACTGGTACTATTAAAGCGAAAAAGAGCTGTCGTTCTTAACAAACAATTCTGAACTGGCAATAAACCCACATGGAGAAACTGTTATTGCCTTCTGCTGTTGCTGTTTGTAATTTGCTTTCTGCCTTTTAACGTTGTTTACCTGGACTTTTGAGGTGTTTGTTTGTAAATATATTTAATCATTGTTTCATTTCTCTAGTGGAATCTAATCAAAAGACATCATTCCAAGAAATTCCTAAACTGAACGAAGATTTGGTGCAGAACCAAAAGCAGCTAGAACAAATTGAGACTGGAGAACTGGGACTGAATAAAATTTGGACAAATATCACAGAGATCAATTATCAGGTGAGAGGGATAAGTCCTTGGTTTTGGGACACAGTAAAATATTCCATTCAAATTTATTTTTACATAAATTAATTTCAGGTACAGTGCTGTGCTTTTATCTAAGGACTTCTGTGACCATATGCTAAACTTTTATTTTTGAAGTTAAAATAGAGTATAAACTTCATTATTAAACAAGCATAAACCAGCTTGAGGATCCAGCTGGACTGGAGTGTGATCACACAGAGGAGGAGTTGCGTAACTGGTGGAAAGACTTCAGGCAGAATTTTAAAAGAGCCTGAGAACTCTGTAGTTCTTAATTTTCTTGCTAAATAGTTGAGATGTTTATGAGGAGATAGTTGACATTTCAAATTTCTGATAGTGTCTTCAAACGTTTAATAAGCATGGAGAAGAGTTACCTGACTCAGTGCAAGTTCCTGTTGCTACAGATAGAGTAGTGATGTCTCGTGAATATAAAATCTGCTAACACACTGAACTCTGAGCTGGTGTAAGTCCTGGTGCTGTTTATGCAGCTCGAACTAAGCCACTTAACAGAGCTGTTTCCTCAGCTGCTCTATTAACTCATTCTTCAAATGAGTTAATGAAGCAAGGCTCTTACTGACATTTTTGCCCCAGAGGGTAAACGTTCAGAGCTGTTTGCAGTGAATGGTATCAAGAGGTGTGTGTCTGAACCCTCCTTGACACAGATGCTTTGGGTTTAATTTCTGAGAGTACTGAGGTGCCTGCTCAGATTGGTTTTTCTTCAGTCCCATGTGGTGGTTAAGTGCTTTCTGGGGCACATAAGTATATCCGAAAATTCAATTTGCTTTCTTTGGCATCTGACAATGTGCTTTATCCACAGTTATTTAGGTTCTTCATGAGACTTTTAAAATGCTCTTATCTGCACCTGGATGATAAAGATACTTGCACGTGGTTCTTGCAGACCCTTGAGTTACTTCAGGGTCTGGTTACGATTTGAGCCAGATCTACTGGGGATCAAAATTTTAGTTACTGGGCTTTTTTTTTCCATGAATTGTTGCGATGTGCTGCTGGGAATTACCTCAGCCAATATTCACAGCTGTGGAGCTAGATAGTTGAAATGCCAGCTGATCAACACTGACCTAATGTAAAATCAGGATCTTGTCCATTTCCTCAGCTTGCTAAACAACTCTTTTTTTTTTTTTTTTTTTAAAACCAGAAGAAAGTGGATTTTATCCACTCCACTTTTGTGCTGTCAGATGTAAGAAGAAATTGGTTTTCTTTGTTTTGACTACTGATGGCTACAAAATGATCTCAGGGTGTTAGCATTAGCAATGAGTGACTCCATGTAGTTCTCAATTTATTTGACAACCTCTAGATTGGAATGAAGATGCATTGAGTAACTTGCTGTCAGGGTCGAACAGTTAACAGAAATTGAGATAACCTGCTGTACCTAGGTTGTGACTGTTCTACCTCTGTAGCAGAAGGTTTGGCTGATAACATGCAACTTTGCCTGTCACTCAGCTGGAGAAGTTGGTGTGGCTTCACTGGATTTTGCCAGGCAGATTTGATTGCTAAATACGGAAGTGGATGAATATTTCCTCCATGTAATCACTTCTTGCACAATTTTTTAAATCTTCTCTCTAAGAGGATGAATGTAACATTGGCAGTGGGTGCCTTACTTGAAAAGAAGGGTCTTCTATGGCTTTCATTCAGTTAAAAAAATTAAATAAAATCTTGTTCTTTTGCAAGAGGCAGAACATTTTTTTATGTAGCCTAGGCAGCATGTCTAACCTAAAGACAGGAGTGTTTTGTGTGTGCACATAGAGAATTTTGTATTGCCATAGGTTTTAATGTTACACATTAGGCCATTAATAGTGGGGAAGGTCAGAATCAGGATTATGTTGCCTAATTCTAAGTATTCCTTTTTGGTTTTAGATATCACTATTGACTACAATAGTAAGTCATCTCAAAAACAACATAAAGTCTGCTGCTGGTCTGATTTCTCTTCCTCTCACAGTAGAGAAACTTCAGAAGGCAAGTACTGTAAATGTGGCTGTCACTAAATGTGTTCTGTGCTGCCAAGCTGCAGCTGGGCTCTTGGGGACAGCAGTGACAACAGGTGCTGCCTGAATTGCCCACGAGAAATATTTGTTTCTCTTGTCTTAAAGTTTGACTTCATATACTTGATATTTTATGGTCCTGTGATAATGTATGTGAGGTAAAAACCTTGAAGGCCTTGTTTGTCACTTGTGACAACATAATACAAACAAATGCATTGCCAAATATTTACCTTGGAGATGATCTTTATTGTTACTTTCCTTCAAGTTGCGAATCTTAATATCATTTAAGACACTTGGAAAAAGTCTGTCTGCAGTTTTATAACTCTGCTTGCAAATAGATGGCTTGTTTAACTTTTTTAATTGGAAAAGAAAATTGATTGCTTTCTGTTAAGTGTCTTGCCATGTGCCTTAGCTGAGCATTCTTTGCCAAAGCACTCCCCAGTTTACTTTGTCTTGTTGAGACTTGCCCTGCTCTGCCATGGCAGTTCTGTTTATTTAGCAATAATCATATACGTTGGGTTAACACCTAATATGAGTCCAGTCTTTGTGGCATTATGTATTTCCACTTCTCATTTCCTATCCCTACAGAATTAATGTATAATCCACAAGCTAGTGATACACAAAGCAATTACTGTGGTTTGGCTGATCAGGCTGCCAGGGTTTCTTTTTCTGGGAGCAATACAAAGCCATTTCCTATGCTTCTAATTTACTGTTTCAAGCGTGCTAGATTTTTTAAGGCATGTTGTATCAGCAGTGGTGTGTCCAACAGGACCAGGGCAGTGATCGTGCCCCTGTATTCAGCACTGGTGAGGCTACACCTGAAATCCTGTCCCCAGTTTTGGGCCCCTCACTGCTAAAAATACATTGACTTGGTGGAGTGTGTCCAGAGAAGGGCCACAAAGCTGGTGAAGGACCTGGAGCACAAGTCTTATGAGGAGCAGTGGAGGGTGTTTAGCCCAGAGAAAAGGAGGCTGGGGGGACATTATTGCTCTCTACAACTACCTGAAAGGGGGTTATAGTGAGATGTGGGTCGGTCTCTTCTCCCAAGTAACAAGCCTTGAGGAAAAGGCCTCAAGCTGTGTCAGGGAGGTTTAGATTAGATAATCGGAAAAATTTCTTCACTGAAGGGGTTGTCAAACATTGGAACAGGCTGCACAGGGCAGTGGTGGAGTTGCCATCTCTGGATGTATTTAAAGGATGTGGATAGGGACTTCGGGTGGACTTGGCAGTGCAGGGTTAATGGCAGGACTCAATCTTAAAGGTCCTTTCCAACCTAAATGATTCTATGATAATGCTGCTTTTCTTGTGGTTGAATCTGGTTTTCTTAAGCCTTTTTCCCTGTAGATACCATTCCTGGAAGTGAGGAACGGCCTGCAGGTATTAGAGCCCTGAAGGATTACTCAGGGAGGTCTCCTTGGACAGTGGCTTTTGTTTATACTGATGAAAGGTGCCAAAGGCATCCTGAGGTCCTCCAGGGCAGAGAGATTGCTTACTGAACCTGTGTTCAGACTTGCAGAATGGAGAGCTGCAGAAAGATCTGTGTGGATGTTGTTTGAATATAGTCTGGGTAGCTAGAGGGTCACTTCAGTGCCTTAAGAGCTTATGAGCATAACAGGGTCGTAGGAAATGGAGAGTTTTTTAGATGGGTTCTGTGCGTTGTGATGATTGACGAAGGTATCAAAAATGTAATGGTAAACAGAGACCTGCTCTATCCTGTTACTGTAACTTCCACTAGTGTTTGTGGATGTCCTAGCTGGCAGTGTGGCTCTGAGAGGTGCTGTGCTGTCAGCTGCTAAAGCACCAGTGCAGCTTTACAGAATAGTTTCTTTCTGAAGGTAGAGCTGGGGGCAGGGGGAGTTCACATAGGTGAAAGCAAGGGAAGGATGAGCAGGAGTAGTTGGAGGCAGAGGTAGCTGTTAGAGCACACTGACTGTACCTGTGGAATTCACAGGGACTTTCCTGATGCTTCCTTTAGAAAAGGGCAATACTTGCTTGGAAACCTAATCTGCAACCTTTGACTGATGAGTTTTACCGTGTGATATGTCTGATGGGTAGTCTTGAAAAACAATTAAGGCAGGAGAAATTGGTGATATCAGCATCCTTGTATTTAATACACATACTCTGTGTAGAGAGGAGTTAAGATGTCTTCATATCAGGATTACTGCTTTTTCTTTTTTGTGTGTGTGTTTGGTTTTTTGTTTGTTTGTTTGGTTTTTGTTTTCCAGTTCCAGGACATTTGTATTGTTGTGGGAGTGGAAGTAACAAGCCTATAATTTGGTTATCCAGCTTAAGCCCTAATGATGTAGAGTATGTCTTTGTTGCCTGGAGATGCAATGGGTCTAATTTGCAGTTTTGACTGCAAATAAAGTTCCAAATACTTCAAACTCACGTGCATGTTTTGTTAGTGAAACTGTAGGCAAACTGCCACAAAAACATTGTGTTTAGTAGATTGGAACTTTGGGGCAGTGTAGTTTGAAGAAGGCTAAGATGTCTGTCATCTCCTTTATTGCAGACTGTAGCAAACATAGGTAGCACACTCACCAGTGTGGCTCATGATGTTGAAAATATACAGACAGCTATTGAAGAATACAAGAAATCCATAGAAACACTCCAGAATGACGTGGTAAGAAAAATGCATTGATTTAACACTGTGTTTTAATGGTTACCTGCCTAAGCATGAAGCAGGTTAAAGAACTGTGTGGAGTTCTGCCTTTTGCCTTTGAAATACTTGAGGTTTCAGTAGGTTGGTATATTAATTAGTTAATCTAATCCCTGTGTGACATCTCCTGTATGGTACTGGATACATATTTATCTGGAGCCAGAATTGTTGGTCCCCACTATACTATTTATCCTGCAGATTTTTGCTTCCTACTCTACTGCTGTGGAGCCTTGGGAAACTCTGCTTCTGTGTGATGCAGGGGACTGCTTGAATTAAGGATGAGTATAAGGATGAACCAGAAACTACTGTATTTGCAGTGACCTCTCACTTGAGGTTAACAAACTGAGCCAATAATCACAGTTTTTCAGCTAAACTGCAATACAGCTGTACTTTAGTAAGAACACTTGCAGATGAAATCTAAATTAGATACATAATAAAGCTCGATTCAGTCAGTGGGTGCTATGAAAACATTATAGATGTGGCAGTGAAATGTGTATCATAATCCTTCATTAAATGGAGAAGAGCTAATTAGGAGGGTTTAATAAAAATAAATTTGAACTTTGTGTGTTTGAAAGAGAAAACTATTAGCCTAGTTAAAATACTGCATGCACAACAGACATGAGTGGCTATAATTGTGGCAAAACATCCTTAGCTGCATTCTGCCAGTTATTCAAGCTTATTTACAGGAATTTGGTAAGATAATTTTCTACTTGTTTCCTTAGAAGGAATTAAAACAGATGCCTTCACTTCCCTCCACTGTTGTGCCAGGAACGGAGAGAAATCTGACAGAAAATTGCAAAAAGGTATTATTCTCCCTTGCATAAAGAATATTGGTACAGGTATCATGGCTATGTAACTTACTTGTGTGTTTTGCAGTTCTGTAGCGTGCAAGAAAGTATGGGTTTTTTTATCAAGACAATACTGATAACATCCTTCAAAACAAACTATAAGATATTTTTGCTGTAGTTTGTTCCTGTGTAAGTGCAGCAGGAAAGTATCCTAGTCTGAGTATTTTTTGTGTTCTGATTGGGTGAGAAGTAAAAAAAATGAAACACTATCTGTCAAACTACAGGTGTTCTTTGCTAATGTAAATGAGTTAAAGGCTTTTAATGGCATGGGTTTATGGCAGGTACTTGCCAATCTGAGCAAATTTGGGAGTGGCATGTATTGAGTCACCCTCAATGTAATGAGCTGTGGTAAGCAGTAATTCATTAACAAAAAAAAGGTTAATGTGTGTGTGTTTAGCTGAATGTGTTGGAATGGAATGACTGCACTTATATTTAATACAGTTGACATCTTCCTCAAAAAGAATCTTGTGTATAACTATGCCCAGTATTTGCTTTCTTGGGAGAAACAGTTGGTGTGCTTACAACGCTTGCCCTGGAAAACTAGATGAATAGGCTTTCTGTGTTCACTGGCACAGCTGAAGTGGTTACAGTAGCAACAAAGAGGTTAGCCCTGAGGAAGAATCTCAGTTTCAAATTTTGAAAGTTGGAGTAACTTTCTGGAAGCTTCCAGCTGGATGTTTACAGCAGTGTCAGTGGAGAGCCAGTCTGAACCTCCCAATGAAACTGGGTCAATTGTTGTGTTGTTAATAGCCAGAGTGCTGCAGAGGTTGAGTAAACTGCCATGTGCTGGGTTTATATTTCAGGAAAACCAGGCACTACGTGCAGCTTTGGAAGAGCTAAACAATACTGTAGTCACGTACCAAAAGTTGAATGACATCAGACTCCTAAATGTGGATTCAGCCATTGGCAACCTTAGCCGGAAGGTTTTGCTGTTTGAAAACTCTCCCCTTGCTGTGAATAATCTGGACAGAAGAGAGAACTTGTCTACCAATGTGGTAAGTATTTGATGACTAAGGGTGTCTACTCAGGCTGGTAGTTTCAACACTTTCTATGCACTATGGATACAACTTCTCAAACCTCACTAACATCAGAATGAAACTTGAGATACTCAGGATTTTATTATGAAAGGATAGATTTTGTTCTGTATTTCTAAACAGATAACCCAACATTAAGGGTATCTCTGAAGCAGTCATTTCTTCCCTGCAGAAACTACAGAAAAATGACCCAAACACTGTGACATTTAAGACTTTGATGATTCCTTAATGGTGTGGAATTTACAAACTGAGCTATGTTTTAGGATTTAGTCTGGCATAGGTCTGTTAAAACCACTGAGGAGCTAGGTGGGACCCTGCATGGTTAAATAGTGCTTCGATGCTAAAAAAATCCCAATAAAAAACCTAGCCTAAATACGTTCATAAATCATTCCAGTGCTTGCTGTATGCCATACTGGGACCAGTCTGCAAGAACATATTCTGTATGTTTAGCAATAAAGGAACATGCTGACGTTGCTGGGGTAAATTATATAACTCATTGTTAAGACATCATGTTTATCTTAGCATGTATCTGCCCTGGTTATTTTCCTGCTTTATGCCTGCCAAATTTGAAGGAAATAAACTCTGCTGTGGAAAATAAAATACACAGGAATAAACTCTGCTCTGCACTACTTTTTTTCTGTAGGGGAATGATGCAACTACCTCTCTAAAAGTGCAAAGTGAAGATCAACCAGATAGTGAAACTCAGTCAAATAAAGAACTGAAGGTAAAGTAAGGGAATACAAATTATAATGGATTAGTAGAGCATGTAATCATCTCTCTAATCATATTTTAAATGGAACTTAATTGAGCAAAGGTCTGCAAACAGTCTGATCAAGCCGTTTAAAATCCAGAGGGAAGGACATTTACACAACTCATTTTGGGGACAGGAAGTCAATTAGGGTGGAAGAAAAGTGGCACATTTTGGCACTGACTACATGTGAGATAACACAGCAGAGCTGTTGTAGTATCCTTCCATCCAACTGAAGCAATCTTGGGATGTTCAGACCATGGACCAGTGGAACAGGAGGCTCTGGCAGGCAGCTGCTTTGAGTACCCACTGCCAGGCTTTCAGCACAGCTAGCTCAGCTGTTGGGGATTCAGTTTCCATCTGTTGGGGGTGAGTGAATGGGCTACAGTGTCAGTTCTGAGCTTGTATTGATGTGAACTCGACCTTTTATCTGGAACCTACTCATAAAAAGAGCAAGGGAACTGCATATGAAAAAATGTGACAGATACAGTGACTCCTGCACAAAGGTAGAACTGCAGGCAAACATCTGAAACAGTTATGCAATTCAATTATTGTGTAAGTGTTCACTCCAAGTATGTTTGACTGTTCTATATTAAGGTTTCTCAGTGTCTTGCTCTTTCCTGTAGGAAATACAGAAATTGAATGTCAGATTCTTTTGAAATCGGTGTCTGCAAAATAGTTGTCTATTTTTCAGGCTGAGGGACTGATGCTGTTGTTTTCTTTCTGACCACTTATTACTTATTACTGAACTTGTTACTAAACATCTTTCTATTGATTTTTAATTTTTATTTTCTTTTTGTTTTTAAATCTTGTTCATAATTTTTAACTTGATCAACCTCTAAGTCACTCAAAAGTTGTTCATATGTTTTAAGACTTTTCCAGATTGTCTACATATACTGAAAGGGTCCTTTCTAAGATTATTTTTCTCTACATATGCAGAAAACAGGAACTAGAGATTCTCAGGTATCAAAACTGAGAGAGACACTTCAGCTGATCAGTGCTCTCACAGGCAAGCCAGAAAATGACAGATCCATTGAGACATCAAAGAATGGTAAGAATGTCTTGTTATAATGATCCATTAACCTGGAGATTCCCTGTGTAACTCAAAGAATAACTAATGAAGGTGGATAATTTGGACTGTTCCTTAAGATTTCAATGAAGGTTATGTAGTTAGAGTGGTAGGAAACTGATGTCTCTAAAACAGAAAATTTTGTATGACTCCAAAACTTTGAAGGTGACTTTCCATGTGTATGGCAGGATGCACATGCATCAACAGCTTGTGTTTGAGGGCCTGCAGGGATTAGCTTGTAGAACTTTATATCCAGTAACATCTGGGTTTGCTTTTTCGTAAGTGTACCACAGAGGAAAGGTCTGTATCTCTGCTGACCAGTTCTGCACTTCTGCTGTATATATTCAGGTGATGCTGAACATCAGATTTTAGATACTTCATTGCAATAGAACTGTGCTGGTGGTTCATTACAAATACACATCTCCTACTACAGTATGAGATATTAAAGCTCTATAGCTGTCCAAAAACTGTCCTTTCAATTATTGGTGAAAAGGGGCAACATTGCTGTATTCTGAAAATGATTTTTGCAGCATTCTTATCCCATACAGCTTAAAAAAAGAATTAGTTTTGTAAGATTTTTTGAGTTTTGTTTCTGATAACGCTAATTCTGCGGAATTAGTAAGACTAATGGAAACTGTTTTGTAACAGTTGAAAGTAGTGCGAGTGCTACAGCAGAGCCCACAGATCTTTCAAGGCTGGCTTCAAGGTCAGCTGGTGACAACACGGAGAGTAATGGGCAGCTGAACCATCTGTCCTTACCAGGAATTTCCAACATCAGAGGTATGTCCTTTCTAGGCTGACCTTTACTCCTGAATATTTCATGTAAGTGTTTAGGACACAGTATCTGGAATTACAGAAGTGTGTTTGGGCATTCTGGGAGAAGTGAGGTCAGTTTGAAAAGCTTGGGAGCCACAGACTTAAAAGTAAATAAATAAAAAAAACCCCACAAACAACAGAAGGGAGAGAACAGCACACAGCAGAAAGAAACAGATTTAAACAGGAATGTAAGTGAATTATGATTGCTTTGAGTACCAAAGTATCATATCAAGTGCCCCAGAGACTAGGAGAGAAGTCAAGGGCAGAATTAGTGTGCTGAAGGAAAAAGATGTAGGTGTGAATGTGTATGTTCTGGGGCTTTTTTCTTTTCTCTCTGTTTTTCTTCTTTTAAGAGAACACGGCCTGGCCAGACGAATGGTTTCTGGAGCTTGCTGTTCAGTCTCTTCAGCTACTGAAAGGGCAACACTTTGCATCAGGAAGTGAATAGACACTTTTCCCTTTATATCCTCTGTGCCATTGGTATAGCAACAGTCAATCAGAGCTTGCTTTTGTGGAGGAGAACTCTGTCTGCATGCAGTTAGTGGTTGTAAAATGGGCTGTTGGTTGTGGCCAGAAATAGGGATTACTTTTTTCAGATTTAATGTCATTTAGTCCAGAAATGTTCATGCTTTTTTCTCCTAGACCATTACCGACAGCTTGTGACAGCAGAAGAGGCAAACTCCAGACTCAGGGAGGCTGTGTTTAATTACTGGGTAGTAAGACACAGTGCTGTAAAACTGGGAAAGCAGCTTATAGGATATTCCTATGTACTTAAAGGAGCTACTTCTCAATCCTTGTTCTCTTTGCAGATCTCCAGAATTTGTTTGAAAAAGCAGCTGAAGATGCTGATGGAAAACTCTCATATGAGGATCTTCAAAAGCTGCTTGGCTCCACAGCCCCAGAGTCACAGAGCTTTAAGGAATTTGACACTGATGGAGATGAGAAATACACACTAAAAGAACTGAGATTAGCATTAGGTATATAGGATATATATTTAGAAATGTGATACTGGTGGATGTTGCTGTTGCTAAAGGAAGCTACAGAACATGAAAAACTATGTCTGCACTTTCCCAGTGTTTTACTGATCTCTGGAGCTAAATTACTGTACACATTGCCACTCTTCTTTTTCATTTGCATTTATTGAAAAGAAATTTACAAATTTATATGTCTATGGGACATAATATTGGGACTGTGTTAAAATCCAGAAAATTCCCAAACTTGGAAACATTTTCCTCTCATTCTTTCCTTTTTCAAGGGAGTTCTTGGTTTTAATTTAAAATGTGTACATACTGAAATAAAACTATGGTTTTGTATTTCACTGAAATTTGCCTTAAATTAGAGAGCTGCACTTTATGTAGAGCAGAAGGAAATCTGTCTTGCAGAGATGGGCTGCTTCTGCTTGTAAATATGAGACAGAGTAAATTAAGCATATTTAAGGGGAAGTTTGTGTCAGGGGCTGTTTTGGTAGTAAGCTGCTTATAACAAGAGACTGAGCCTGAAACGGGTGGTTAAGAGCTTCAGCTAAATTTCTGATTTTTGACTCAGTATATCCATGAATAAGTTTGGCCTCAGTCAGAGGAAATCAGGAGGAGTAAGTCATGCCCATCTATAGCAGGATGTATTTTTAAAGGGAAGAGTTGAAAGTGTTCTATATCATGAGCCTACAGGAGCAATTAACTTCCCAAATGCTTGGGTTTTCACTTCAGCATCCTTTGAGCTTTGCTGTGTTGCATCCAGATTATATTTTGTGAGATGAGCCTGTCTATTTTTTTTAAAAAATTAACATATTGAATAGCTTTAACAGATGCTTAAGAGGTAAAAGTCTGCAAAGCAGCCTGCTGAGTAGCATGAACAGTTCACACCTCAGCAGTGTGCTGATACACTCCAGGAGTGTGAAGAGCTGGGGAGGCCAAGAGTAGACTTGTGAGCTGTATCCTGACTATTGTGAATGCGATCACTTCTTGGTACCCTAATTTTTTGTGTTCTTGCCAATGGAAGGATGCAAAAAGCAGGTAGGCATGTGTAATGGCATTGCTGTTCTGTACTGACACCTGGGCTGTAAATGAAGTTTCCTTACTGTAATGAAACTTAAAAGTATCTGTTTATAGTAGTGGATCTAAGCACAGTATATTTATAACCTGGAACACAGGAAACTGACTTCTGCAGAGGGGATTCTCTCTCGCAGGCTAGGTGAGGGCCAAGTTGGATGATTTTGCTCACAAATATCACTGATCTTGTTGAGAGCTTTTTTGCATGATTAGTGAGTTGAAGTTGTCCACTTTGCTGAAACATCAGTTTATGTGGAAGTTGGTTCATAATCATTGACTTTTATGTAACTTTAGACTGGATGTTTTATCAATAATTGTATTCTAGAAGTATGGATCAGCAAAGGAATGTGCAAAATGAAACCCCATTACCCATTTCCTAGGCTTCCTTCACTGTTGCTCTTCTATCCTGTTTGGGTAATGCAGATGTCACCCAATACCAAAATGCTTTTGATGTGATGTTTGAAAATGCAGTATTTAAAAACCAAACCAAACCAATCAACCTTGGCTTTACAGAGGACAAGAAGCTAACACTTGCTTCTTGCTGCTTCCCACACCCTTTTATACGCTACTGTATAATTCTTTAACCAAATAAAAAAATAGCAATAAAATGTAACCATTCTGATATTTTATTTGTACATACTGTATCATAGCCATATGCCAGAGTTTGCAAAATATTTTTGGAAGTTTATTTGTATGAAACTTAACTTACCTTAAAATTTAAGGGATTATTGTATCGCCACATGAATCTATTAGTGTTTTGTTTTGTTGCAGTCTGCTGTATTTTTAGAAGGCTCTTCACCAGCAGTAGTGAAACTGTCAGCTAGACACAATGTGTGCTGTTCCACTGCCTGTGTCCTCTGCCAGGGAGCTGAGCTGCTTGGCAGTCGGCACTGGGCCGTGGCTGTCCGCGGGTGCTGCTTAACTTGCATGTCGAGAGCATAGTCAGTCACTAATTGCTGTAGTCACTGCTGCTGTAGGATGGACTTGTGCTGTCACTTTGATAAAATCTGATCGTCTCCGAGTACGGTGGTCGCTTCTCTTTGACCTGGGTTGTGCTGCAAGCTGGGAGCACTGGTCCCATCCCTGCGAGATTTCTGCTGTGCCACTGCTCTCCGTCCCGCACGCTGCCCAGCAGTTGGCAGGGCTCCTCTCCCCTGTAGATGGTAGCATAAAAACCATGAGCGTAGTAAATTCACCTGTCCGGATGTCGCTCGTGCCTGTTGCCGGTGGGCTGCTCGAGGGGCGGCTCCAAGTCCTGGAGGAAAAAGCGATATCTGTCTGCAATCGGAAAAAATGAAGCGGCGAGAGTGACAAGCGTGGGCTGCAGCGGGCACGGAGCGCTGCGCTGCTGGGACCTGCTGCTGTGCTGTGATTCCTGGGTTCATTTTCGGGCTGTACTTGCGGTTTGGTGATCCCCGCGCGGGGAGCCAAGCGTGTGCGCATCGCGCGGCTCTCGCTGCTGTAACGCGGCTGCTCATGGAGCGCAATAAAACCTCATTCCCATGTGCGGCTCGGCCTCTTCCGTGCGGGGCGGGCGGGCACGGGGGAAGCAGCAAGGACGGGCGGGCGGAGCTTTGGGTCGGGGAG